ATGAACCAGCCTGCGCATCGGCCACGCGCCAGGAGGAGGAGGAGGAGGAGGAGGAGGAGGAGGAGGAGAAAGCATCTTGGGAGCCTCTGGAGGCACTCTTAGGGCCTCAATGGAGCTTCCTGGGAGCCCCTTGGAGGGGGCCTCCTTGGGCCTCTTGGGGTCTTTGGGGGACTTTTCGGGGGCCTCTCTGGCCGTCTCGGGGCATTCCTGGCCCGTCTGGCGCCGTCGGAAGCCGTCGTGGGGGCGTCTCTGGGCCCCGCAGGCCTTCGAGAGGGCCGTCGGGAGGGCCCCAGGATGCCAAAAACATCGATTCCCCTGTAGGGTTTTTGAAGGTTTTTCGGGTTCTCGCCTTGCGGCCCGCGATGCCCCGAAGCTCGTCCAAAGACGGCCCCAGGGGCCCCCCAAAAGAGCCGAATACGGTCCAAGAGGGAGAGGGCCCAAGACGGCCCCAAGAGAGCCCCAAGAGGGCCCTGAGAGGCTCCGAAGAGATTCCCAAGGGGGCCCGAAGAGGCGGTGTGGGGACTGGGCTGCTTGGGCGCGGGGACTGGGCTGGCCCCGAGACGGCCCGAGAGTCCCAAAGCGGCCCTCAAGAGGGCCCCTGAGAGGGCCTCAGGAGGCCCAAAACATTCTTTGTCCTCCAAGGTTTTTGGGGATCTCGCCTCTTCGGGCCCAGAAGGGCCCCAGACGGCCCAAGAGGTCCCACGTGTCGTCCCAAGACGGCCCCAGAGGCCCCGAAAGGGCCCGAAAAAAATCCAAGAGGGCCCCCCAGACGGCCCGCGAGGGCCCCATGACGGCCCCAAGACGGCCCCACGAGAGCACCAAGATGGGCCAAAGAGGCTCCAAAGAGGGCCCGAAGAGGTGGTGTGGGGACTGGGCTGTTTTGGCGTGGGGACTGGGATGGCCTCAAGACGGCCCAAGAGTCCCAAAAATTGTCCAAAAGGACCCCCAAAATACAACCAAAAAGCCCCAGAGACGCCAGGGAACACCGTCGCCCCCCACAGCGAGCGGTGACGTAACAAGCTCTGAACACCAAGGCTCCCCAGAGCGCGGTGACGTAAACAGCACCGAACAGCAAGGCTCCCAAGAGCGAGCGGCAACGTAAAAGTCTCTGAACACCAGGGCTCCCAACAGTCAGCGATGACGCAACGAGCTCTTCGTGCCAAGGCCCCCCAGAGCGAAGGGTGCCAGGAGCCATGTCGGGCCAGTTCCTGCAGCGCTCTTTCCTTTCCCGTGCCGGCCCAGGTGACGGAAAGAGCGAGGTGCGAGCGATGTGCGTTGTTTGGTGGGGCGACGCCCTGAAGGGAGGGGTTCCAGGGGAGGGGCGAGGCGCGGAGGCACGGCGAACCGGGCTCTGATGGTTATTTTCCTTAGTGTTTTTTCCCAACCATCCTGTTGTGTTGGGTCCTCGTTTTGAAAAGACAGCGCCCCGCGTTCCACTTTCCTCCTTCCTCCTCCTCTCCTCCTCCTCCCTCCTCCCCCATCCTTGCCTTTGCTCTCCGCATGTCTCAGCTCACCCCCTCCTCCCATCATCATCATCATCATCATCATCATCATCATCATCATCATCATCATCATCATCATCATCATCATCATCATCATCATCATCATCATCATCAGCAGCAGCAGCAGCATCAGCATCACCATCATCATCATCAGCAGCAGCATCAGCATCAGCATCAGCATCATCAGCATCAGCATCACCATCATCATCATCATCATCATCATCATCATCATCATCATCATCATCATCAGCATCACCATCATCATCATCATCATCAGCATCATCATCGTCATCATCATCAGCATCATCATCATCGTCATCATCATCATCATCAGCATCATCAACAACATCATCATCATCATCATCATCATCATCAACAGCATCAGCATCATCATCATCATCATCATCATCATCATCATCATCATCAACAACAGCATCATCGTCATCATCGGCATCGCCATGGCTGATTCGTTTCGTGGCCCCATAGGGAGCTCCACCGAAGGCCCCAGTGGGGGGGGGGCCGCATGCGTCCCCACGCTCACTCAGGGCAGCGCTTCGTGGCCCCATAGGGAGCTCCACCGAAGGCCCCAGTGGGGGGGGCCGCATGCCGCCCAGCACAGCGTTGTGGCCCCATAGGGAGCTCCCCCAGTGGGGGGGGCGCATGCGTCCCCCACGCAGCAGCGTTTTGTGGCCCCATAGGGAGCTCCACCGAAGGCCCCAGTGGGGGGGGCCGCATGCGTCCCCCACGCTCAGGGCAGCGTTTCGTGGCCCCATAGGGAGCCGAACGGCGTTGTGTGGCCCCCGGGAGCTCCACCGAAGGCCCAGTGGGGGGGGCCGCATGCCCCCCACGCATGCAGCGCTTCGTGGCCCTAGGGAGCAAGGCGTGGGGGTGCCCGCAAGACAGCGTTCAGTGGCCCCATAGGGAGCTCCACCGAAGGTTCCAGGTCTACCGTCCGCATGCGTCCCCCCCCCCCCCACACACACAATACAGCGTTTCGTGGCCCTCCTCCCCCTCCTCCATGCGTTTCACCCACCCACTACAGCGCTTCGTGGCCCCATAGGAAGCCCCACCACCGTCCGCATGCGTCCCCCCCACCCAGTACAGCGTTTCGTGGCCCTCCTCCCCCTCCTCCCTGCGTTTCACCCACCCAATACACCGTTTCGTGGCCCCATAGGGAGCTCCACCGAAGGTTCCAGGTCTACCGTCCGCATGCGTCCCGCCACCCAGTACAAGCGTTTCATGGCCCTCCTCCCCCTCCCCCTTGCGTTTCACCCACCCAGTACAGCGTTTCGTGGCCCCATAGGGAGCTCCACCGAAGGTTCCAAGTCTACCGTCCGCATGCGTCCCCCCCACCCAGTACAGCGTTTCGTGGCCCCCTCCTCCCCCTCCTCCATGCGTTTCACCCACCCAGTACAGCGCTTCGTGGCCCCATAGGGAGCTCCACCGAAGGTTCCAGGTCTACCGTCCGCATGCGTCCCCCCACCCAGTACAGCGTTTCGTGGCCCTCCTCCCCCTCCTCCCTGCGTTTCACCCACCCACTACAGCGCTTTGTGGCCCCATAGGGAGCTCCACCGAAGGTCCCACTGGCACCGCCCGCATGCGCCTGCCACCGCCCAGCACAGCCCTTGCTCCTTCCGTTTCACACACCCAGTACAGCGCTCCGTGGCCCCGTAGGGAGCTCCACCGAAGGTCCCAGTGGCACCGCCCGCCTGCGTCAGCCACCACCCAGCACAGCCCTTGTTCCCTGCGTTTCACCCACCCAGTACAGCGTTTCGTGGCCCCATAGGGGGCTCCAGCGAAGGCCCCAGTGGCATCGCCAGCATGCGTCCGCCACCACCCAGCACAGCCCTTGCTCCCTGCGTTTCACCCACCCAGTGCAGCGCTCCGTGGCCCCATAGGGAGCTCCACCGAAGGTCCCACCGGCACCGCCCGAATGCGTCAGCCACCACCCAGCACAGCCCTCGCTCCCTGCGTTTCGCCCACCCAGTACAGCGTTTCGTGGCTCCTTAGGGAGCTCCACCGAAGGTCCCAGTGGCACTGCCCGCATGCGTCAGCCACCACCCAGCACAGCCCTTGCTCCCTGCGTTTCACCCACCCAGTACAGCGCTTCGTGGCCCCATAGGGATCACCGAAGAAGATATTCATAATTGCGGTACTCACAACTGCATATGGTTGGGTCCTTCGCCAGGCTAATTTCGGGTGAAGCGGCTCCCTGGCGGCTCCCAGTTTCCTTGTATTTTTCGAATGGCGCGGCCCAGGGGCACCAAAATGGCCCAAGATGGCCCAGGTCTGCCCAAGAGGGCACCAAAACGTCCCCAAGAGAGTCTCAGATGGCCTCCGGACGGTCCAAGGGAGCCTCAGGACGGTTCCAGGGGCAAACATTAGCCTGGCGAAGGACCCAACCATATGCAGTTGTGAATACCGTGGGGCCACGAAGCGCGTGAAGAGCGTGCCGAAATGGGGCGGGGCCGCCATGCGGGCGCTGCTACTGGGGCCTGATGTGGGCCCCCTTTATGAGGCCACGAAACGTGTGAGGGGTGTTCCAAAATGGGGCGGCGCCGCCATGCAGACTGCGCCACTGGGACTTTAGGTGAAGCTTCCTATGGAGCCACGAAGCGTGTGAGGGGTGTGCCAAAATGAGGCGGCGCCGCCAGGACTACGCCACTGGGACCTTAGGTGGAACCCCCTATGGGGCAACGAAACGTGTTAGGGGTGTGCCAAAATAGGGTGGCGCCGCCATGCGAACTGCGCCACTGGGATCTGAGGTGGAGCTCCCTATGGGGCCACGAAACGTGTGAGGGGCGTGCCAAAATGGGGCGGTGCCGCCGAACGAACTGCGCCAGTGGGACCTTCGGTGGAGCTCTTTGTGGGGCCACGTCCCGGGAGGACCCAAGAATGACCCCAGAAGCTCCCACGAGGTCTCCTCATCCTTCTCCCCATCCTCCTTGACCCTTCCTCTCCTCATCCACCTTTGCCTCCCTCACGTGTTCTCCGAAAGGCTTCCACAACGGCTGGGGGAACGCATGGTCCGATAGCTCAGCCAAACTTTGCCCAAACGTTTGGCCACATAGGCGCATCCTAGAGGCAGGGGGCGGCGGTTATTCCCTGACCTGTCCTGCGGTGGGTCCTGGTAAGGATCTTGAGGCCAATCCAGCCGTTGCAACGGAAACGCCAGAAGAGGCCTCGAAAAGCCGAAACGTACGTTCGAAACATAGAATCTCAGAAGATCTCTGTCTCTGGAAACCTCTGGGAGTCTCCAGAGGTCTTTGGGGTCCCTGAAGGTTCCCCAAGACCATCCAGAGGCCCATGGAAGGGCCACAAATGTAGAAAACATGGATCATCGATCCTTCTTTATCCCGGTCCTTCTCCTCCTCCTCCTCCTCCTCCTCCTCCTCTTCCTCCTCCTCCTCCTCCTCCTCCTCCTCCTCCTCCTCCTCCTCCTCCTCGGTGCACGCAGCAATCCGCAGTAGGAGTCTCTCGCGGGCGGCGCGGGGACACGTTGTCAGCGTCTTCGGCGGTATCGAAGGTCACGATGACCATGCCGAGGGTCATCGGGGGATCCTCGCAGAAGCGGCCAGGCAGGAGCCAAGAATCTGCCCTCGACCCTCCTGCTCCTCGACCCTCGAGGTTCGGATCGAGGGCAGAGGTTTCTGGTGGAAGTGTTGGGCCTCACCTCCTACGGCGTGCTGGGACCGCCAGGGACCTCCAAAGATCACCAGGAGGGCCTCCTCCTTCTCCTCATCGTCCTCCTCTTTCACCCCCCCTCCGCATCGTCCTTGTCGTCGTAATCGTTATCATTGTTGTCGGCATCGGCATCCGCAACAGCAGCATCGCCAGCATCACCTTCAGCTACACCATCACCGCTACCACACCCTCGCAGCATGATCATCAACAACCATCTCATCATGATCGTCATCATCGTCATCGGCATCGTCAGCATGACCACCACCATCATCAGCATCGACTTCACACCAAAACCATCACTTTGTTACATTGTTGTCGCCATCGTCGTCGTCGTCATGGCAGATCCTCCTAACTTTCTCAGCTGCGGTATTCACTAGTAAGCACGCTCGTCTGCAATATGATATATCATGTACTCGCTCAGTCAGATAATCGCTTTTAAGGGGAGGTGCAACAAAGTGAAGATTGCATTCGCAGTCTGCTCACTCTAGCAGCAACAGTGCTAAGCGACCTTGATTGTATCAATGAGACTGCTACGTGAGGCCTTTCTGGATATGGCGAGGTTGAAGAGAAGAAATGGCGAGGCACACAACGGAAAGAGCCAAACTCCGATGACGCCTCCCATCTTACTCATACCACGAACTCCGACGACGGCACATTTCACAGCATCGTCATGGTCCACGCTTTAACATGCCACATGCAACGGGGCTAGAGGCGGTGGTGATTTGGCATGGTAGCCGCGAAGTTCGCTCACGGGCGACAGGCCAAATCAAACTCCAAGCAAGCCAGGCCGAATATCCAAGCTCCTAGCTATGCGCACGCAAAGTACCTCACATTCATCGCAGTCCCCCTGCTCCTTCTTGGTTTCAACCCCTCTTCCAGACAAACAACTCCATCGTCCTACCGCCAGACACGTTGTTCGCGGGCCAGCATGTCTAGGCTTCCTCACAGATGACGCTGAAGCTCGAAACTTCCGACAAAAATACACGAATGAGCGTTTCTGAGATGCGGCTCTCGCCTTAGCACCACACACGTTCGGCTTGAGAGCTCGTAACACTTCAAGGATGGAACTGCTGCAACAGCTTCAAGGATGGAGGGCGGCCCGTCTTCAAAATGTGACTCTTGCCCTAGCCCCGCCCGTAATCGCCTTGACAACAATTGCAAAGATCGCGGGCTATCCCTGTTCAAACTGGGCCTACTGCTGCAGACTTCCCAAAGTGCGATGGCCATGACTGCAAAAGTACGTAACCACTACACAGATGGAGGGCGGCTCCGCTTCAAAACTGAGCTCTCGCTGCATGCCTTGTGAACTGGCTTGAACATTTTTCGTTACATAATATGACTGCAGACTGCCATATGTCTTAAATTGTGTAACGGCCGCATGGATGGAGGGCGGTTTCTATTTAAAGCGGCACCCCCGCTTTGCTGGCAGACCACTACAAATCCCACCAGCCCTTTGGGCGTGAGTGGTTTAGAGAGCCCGCTCTGTTCTCAACCCCCTTCTTTCCCTTCGGGGAGGGGTTTACCCCTCCCCCTACCCCCTCCCCCTGGGCCTGGAGAGGGGCCCCCGCGGGTCGCCAGGGTGGTCTTTTTCGACTCCTGGGAGGGTCAAAAAACGATGACCCTCACGAGGATTGTGGCCCCGACGGGGGGGCCGAGTTTGTCCCCTTTCCTCTTCTTTGAAGCCAAAATCATTGATTTTACTACGGTTTTGGCCCCATTTAGGCCTCCTGAGGGGGCCGCGCTCATCTTCCTTCATAGCCAAATCATTGATTTTACGAAGGTTGTGGGCTCATGTTGTCCTTCTCAGGGGGGCAGCGCTCCTTTGCGCTTCAGAGGAGGTCGCAAGAGGCCCCAAGATGGCCCCAAGAGGCCCCCAGGAGCCTCCCAAGAGGCCTCCAAGAGGCCCCCAAGAGGCCCCCAAGAGGCCCCAAGAGGCCTCCAAGAGGCCCCAAGAGGCCCCCAAGAGGCCCCCAGAGGCCCCAAGAGGCTCCCAAGAGGCCCCCAAGAGGCCCCCAAGAGGCCCCCAAGAGGCCCCAAGAGGCTCCAAGAGGCCCTTAAGAGGCCCCACGAGGAGCCCGAACGACTCACACCAGGACGAGGGGCCCGAACGACTCACACCACGCAGAGCCCGAACGACTCACACCACAAGGAGGGGCCCGAACGACTCACACCAGGACGAGGCGCCCGAACGACTCACACCACGAGGAGCCCGAACGACTCACACCACGACGCGGGCCCCGAACGACTCACACCACGAGGAGCCCGAACGAGTCACACCAGGAGGAGGGGCCCGAACGACTCACACCAGGATGAGAGGCCCGAACAACTCACACCACGAGAAGCCCGAACGACTCACACCAGGACGAAGAGCCCGAACGACTCACACCACGAAGAGCCCGAACGACTCACACCAGGAAGAAGGGCCCGAACGACTCACACCAGGACGAGAAACCCCAAACGACTCAAATCACGAGGAGCGCTTTCTCTCCCTCCTCCTCCGCCTCGTCCTTCTCCCGCTCCCCCCACAAGGAGGATGTACAAGGAGGCGGGAGGAAGGAGGAACAGGGGAGATATGCGGGGCCAAGCGGACACACGCCTGAAAAACACGACTGTCGGCATGCTTCGCGAGAGTTGCTGCTGTGAGATGGGCTGGTGGGGATACGCGAAGCGTAAAGAATTCAACCCATGTGTTGGATAACATATGATACGGGAGAACAAAAAAACAATCAGAGTCTTTGTTGATCTTACATGAGATCCCTTTGTAATTGCTCCTTCGGTTTATGAAGTCTGCGAGGGCTATGAAGACCATGAGGGCTATATGGGCTATGAGGCTATAAGGATATAAGGCGATAGGGCTGTAGTGCTATAGGGCTATATGGCTATGGGCCTATAGGGCTATAGGGTTATAGGGCTATATGGGCTATATGGGCTATATGGGCTATAGGACTATAGGGCTATAGGGTTATAGGGCTTTAAGGCTATAGGGCTATAGGGCTATAGGGCTAAAAGGCTATAGGGCTATAGGGCTATAGGGCTATAAGGCTATAGGGCTATAGGGCTATAGGGCTATTGGACTATAAGGCTATATGAGGCTATATGGCCATAGGGCTCTAGGGCTATAAGGCTGTGGGGCGATAGGGCGATAGAGCACCCGGGCACCCGGGCAACCTCCAGGCACCTCCGGGCACCCCCGGGCACCTCCGGGCACCCCCGGGCACCCCCGGGCACCGAAATCGGCGACGTAGATCACCTACAAATATGAATCCGCTAGGACCCCTACAGAGGCAAGCCTTGATTGGGGAATAATTCCGCATCATTGCTTGCGCGCATCGGCGGCAGCGGCAGGAAGAACAGGGACGGACGTGGCAAGGGGCAGCGAAAGACGTCGCAAAAAGACAGAGGCGCCTCGAATCGAAAGGTTCAACAAACCAAAACAAAGCATAGGCGGCCACTGCCCTCGCAACTTTCTCTATCCTCGGGAAGTTCGTCATAAGCGTTGCCGCGGCTGTGCTCATGAACAGAGGACAGGAGAGTACGAAGAAGAAATGCGGTAGAGAGGAGTGGGGTGTAGCGGAGAAGAAGAGCAACGGAGCCAGGCCCCCAAACGTCTCCATTGGCCTCTGGATGCATCTGGCGGGAAAACAAGGGCCCCAAACGCCAACAGACATCGATCCTCGAAGAGAAGTCGGAGGAGGACGAGGAGGAGAAGTCAGTAGGAGGCAAGACGCAAGAGGAGGCAGGAGGCAGGAGGCAGGAGGGAAAAGAGGGGGGCACGCTCCTGCTCGTCGAAAGGCATGATCTTCGTGTTGGGACCTTTCTTGTCTATGATCTTGCCCAGCACGCTTAACAGCTTGTCGTACTTCGCCTCGTGGGGCGTAGAGGGGAAGAGGAGGAAGATGAGGGGGCTAAAAAGAGAAGAGAGGAGACATTTCGCCCTCCTCCTCATCATCAGTTTTAGCAAAAGGTTCCGGATGATCTGGGTTTCTGCGGGTTTGTAGGAGATCACACCCAGGGCAGGGGAAGGGAGAACGAGGGGGAGGGGGAGGAGGGGGAAGAGGGAGAGGAAGGCAGGAACGGAGGGAGAAGCAGAAAGAGAGGGAGGAAAGACTGGGAGGGGACGAGAGAGCAGGATGGTGAGGGATTCTCCTCCTCCCTCTCTCCCTCCCCCTCGGACCACTCTTTCTCGTCATGCTCCTATTCCTACCACCACTTTTCCAGCGATCTCACTAATTCTCTGTTATCCATGATGGCTGGTATCATACCAAATACCGGCCAACCAGTAACGGCTCATACCGTACCGCGCCAACCGGCCGCGGCTACCGTATCGGATGATACCGTACCAGCCACCGCGACCGTACTGGACGATACCGAACTGGCCACCGCTACTGTACTGGACGATACCGTACCCGTCACCGCTACAGTATCGGACGATACCGTGATTACCGGGGGGGCCCGCAAGACGGCTCCAGGAAACTCAAGGCAGCCCCGAGAGGGCCCCAGGACGGCCTCCAGAGGGATAACGCCTCCAAGACGGCCCAGGAAACCCCCACCACAAGAATGCTCCAAGAAGCCCTCAAGGTAGGCCCCCTCCCCCTGGGCACCCGGGGGCGCCGGCACCAGGGGGTAGGGTACCATGGCACCGGGTGGTGCTGTGGCACCGAAAGGTGTCGGCACCAGGGGGGGCCGGCACTGGGGGGTCCCGGCACTGGGGTGGGCCGGCACCGGGGGGAGGCGTGGCACTGGGGGGTGCTGGCACCCAGGGGTGCTGGCAGCGGAGGGTGCTAGCCTCCAGAGGCCTTCAAGACGCCGAAGATAATCTCCAAGACGGCCCTAAGACGGCACCGGGGGGGGCCGTGGCACCAGGGGTG